CCGGCCACACTGGTGGCGTCTGCCCTGTCCCCAGCTGCGTGGCTCAGCCTCACGGGCTCATGCAGGGCGAGCGTGAGCAGGCAGCAGGGCTGGCTCTGGGGAGAGCTGGCACCTCTGCTCCAGGCGGCGGAGCCAGCAGCAGGGAAAGGACGGCCAGGACACGCTCCTGGCGCGCTGGGCTGGACCTGCAGCAGCATCCTCCCCCGGCGGTTTTAGCCTTTGGGTTTGGCTGCTCCCTGGGGCACCTCAGGGTGGTTCCTGCAGGGTCTGCAGAGCCAGAAGCAGCAGACTGTGGGGGATGTGCGTTGCCTGGCCCAGCACGTCACGGCGAGAAAAATGGGAGCGCCAGCCCCGCTCCAGCTGCTGCCCAACTGTGCACCCGCTCCCGAGCCTACAGCTCTGCTGGCGCTGATAAATCTTCACTCGCTCTCAAGGCTTCATGTAATTGATGGCAGTGCTGAACTGTATTTAACGAGAGCCTTTTCTATTTGGCAACAGGCATCTGCCACCCCGCTGCAGACACGTGAGATAGGGCAGAGGGAGGTCCCTCCCGCTCAGGACTCCCCCCTGGGCACAGAAGCGCTCCAAGGCGTCCCCGCTTCAAACAGCTCGCCCTGGCCTTGCCTGCAAGCTGCTCATGGCCCACATGGCCCAGGACATCCCGCCCCGTCTGCAGCCAGCACGAGGGGGAGGGAGCCTTAACAGAGCCTGCCAACCCCAGCTGGGCGTTGAAGGTCCCAGCTCATCCCGCTGCCTGCAACCGGGAGCACCGCGAGCCGGATGCGGAGGCGCGTGTCAGCCGAAGGACCAGGACATCTCCCAGAAGGATCTGCGAACGCGTGCCGGGTGGGGGACCGAGCACAGGAGAGCCACGTGGGTGTCGCTGGGGCGCAGCTGCTTCCATGGCAGCTCTGCAACTGGATGCAGGGGTTTGGGGGGCGGCATCCCCATGGCCCCCTCCAGGAGAGAGCTCGGTGTGAGCATCATGTTCCAGCCCCCCGCTTCCTTTCCCTTTTCCAGGGTGTGCACCAAGGTGCCACAGCCGAGGGGTAGCGGCAAGCTCCCAGTCCCAGCCCCACGGTGGGAGTCTCCCCCGGCACAGACCAGGGTCACGGCAGCCCCATCCACCTCCTCCCCAGAGGCAGCACACGGAGGTCCCTGACACCAGAGTCATTTATTAGTACAGCTCATGGCTGTTCATCCTTGCCGCCGCTGTGACCTCCCCCGGTGCTGCCACCCCCCCACAGCCCCGGTCCGCCAGC